CCTCAATTACTTCAACGTTTGTATGTTCCGTGCTGATTTATTTAAAAATTAATCAACTAATATCTAATCATATGCCACACCAGAGTGAATAAATATTTATAAATGATATTTTAGATATTTGTAGTTTTACTTGTAAAAGAAAAGGAGAAAAAAAAATAAACTTTCATGATTTGTTTAAATGATTGAGGACGTAAAAAAATTGAGAAAATGGAAAAAACAGATTGGAGAAAAACAATCTCTTATTTTGTCAGAATTTGTGAAATTTGATAAGAAATTCAGATTGATGTGTGTAAAATTTTTATAAAATTTAAATTATTTACTTAAATACAAAATAAATAAATTAAATTATAAATACACTCAATATACTGACTAATAAATAATTCATCGTCAATGCAATTGTGTTAGTCTCGCAACATGCCTTGTTTGATAAGTGATTTTTTTAATTAAAAAGTTATTAAAAAAGTCAAAAAATCAATAACCTATACTAAAAAATTAAAAATTCTCATTTCTCTCTACTTTTTACACATCTTTCGTAAAAAGTTAAAAAATCATTTTAAACATACTAATTTTTTTAACATTATATTTTAATCAAAAAATTTAAAAATTACTAAAAAAATCAAATCCCAAACGAGATCTGAGTTCTGCTATTTTCTCATTACAAAAGTCAACACAAATGGGAATTTTGCTCGATAAAGTCAAGTCGCCAGTCAAGGACTGATATTACCATTCAAATGTCAAAACATTTTCAGCAAAAGACACATTTTAGAAGATTTTATTCATGTTATCTATTTTTATGACAAAATGGCACCAAGAGGGTAATTTATAAATAAATTCAGCCGAACTAAGAAATAGGCTTCTTTAGAAGTTAAGCCGCACGACGAACTAAGGTAGGAGCTGTTGTAGTTCAGTCTAAAAACTAGCGAGCTTGGGCCAGGTGAAATTCGTGTCGAGCTATGGGTCGACGTGTTTGTGCTTTACAAGTTGGACCTCGCCTTGTTATCTCGGTCGAATATTGCAGCAGATAGCTCGGTCCAAACAGACAATCAAGGTATAAGTAAACAAAGGCCGAGCTAGGTATTGCATATGAAGGCAGCGAATTTAGTATGACAAAGGGCTAGTGTTAGCTCGGTTATACTGCTATTCAACCGTGGTAGTCATCTCACTTGGTTGCAGTAATGAGACTTCTAGAAGTATTCTGCTAAGAAAAGCAAAGTCCTACTAGGATTGTGTAAACCATCTCACTTAGTTGGTACTGAATACCGTGTGTGATTCCTACGAGGACTCTTATAAGGAGAGTTGGAATCCTACTAGGGTTGTGTCAGGCAGAGTATATAAAAGCTCATAGCAGGACCTATGTACAGGTATCACAATTTTGACTCTCAGAAACACAGAACTTTCAGTGTATTTTCTATTTGCTGACTTAGGCATCGGAGAGGTATCCGGCACACACCCGCCGGCTAGCTCACGTTTGTGTTTTCAGGAATTAAAGCGACGACATTTAGAGGAGCGCAAACTTGATCAACAGGATTATACGAGAAGATTATTCTGCGCTCGTACAGGCACTCTAATAGAATAGACAATACCATACAGCTTGTTTGGTTTTGAAGTTTTAGAATTTACTTTTAAAAAAATAATTTTTTTATTTTTCGTATTTGTTTTATTTTCATTGATTTTTTTAATATTTTAAGTAATTTTTTTTTAATTTTTAAATACACTTAACATAAATACATTTAAAAAATATAATATTCGTGAAAAAAAAATCTTTAGAAAATTCACTAAACACCAAAAATATAAATAAAAAAATACGAGAATTCAATACAGTTTTTATATTATTGTGTATTTATTGATTTTTTAAAATATTTTTTTTATAAATATTTGACTTTTTAGATACATCTAAGTAAGGTGCATCTAAAAAAGTTTTAAAAAAAATTGTTTAAAATTTTAAAAATATTCACTAAAAATAAAAAAATGCAAAAAACAAAAAACTCAATCCCAAAAAAATTAAATTCAAAAAATTGAAACCAAACACACTAATAGATATTTAGAAAAATTACATTATAAAAAGGTTATGATTTTTTGTAGTAAAAGTTATAAATGTTTATGGTTTGTTATGTAACTTTTTGATATAAATTATTACAAACGGTGAAATTATGATATGTACCTTAAAATTATGAATAACAAAGTTACACTTTCTTATAATGAGCAAAAATTGTAGATTGTTTGCCATGATAACATTTTATGATTTATGTTACAAAATTTTGTGAGATTATGATGAGGTGCCTTTCCTTAGATATTTTGTTTAATTATTTATTGATTAGCTGTGTTTAAAAGTCTTAGAGGTTACGCTAATTAAATTGAGAAGCAGAAAGTGTTTGTATACATTCGGCAAAGTGGTTAAGCAAAGTACAATAATATGCACTTTCGTTAGGTAAAATGTCTATTAGTATTGGAGTTACTCTTACATATATTGACAAGAATTAATGAATCACATTTCAAGATCACGTATATTTGTTAGCTCAGTTTTGGACTAAGTGATTGTTTCTACCTCCTATGTTTTATTGACTACAATCATCTATTTCACATTTTATTTTATATTTATCATATATTATCATGTTACTAAAATTAATAATTAAAAGAATACATAGTAGACAATAATAACAAGGGTTGAACGAATGACCTCATTGCAAAGCCTCATTAGTAGTGTTTAATCTAATTAGAAAGAGCCCTTTCACTTTATTCCAAAACTATGCTTTGACCATTTGAAGTCATAGTTTCGTTATTACTGGTGAGTAGTCCTTGCAAAAGGCACTTAAATGACTTGGTATGACAGTCTCGTAGGAGTCATTTCAACTTAGATAAGGATTGAGAGTGTTTATGGCATGACATGTTGTTGCTACACTTGCCCTTATCGGTTGGGTTCAATTCAGAAAAGGATTGAGAGTGTTTTTTCTTTTTATTTTTTTTTATTTTTTTGAACTAGACAATAAAGTGACTTGAGCTCATCATATTTCGCTAAGAAAACACAAATATATCACTTCTCTTACCCTAAAAGATTCGTGTCAAGAGTGATGTAAATTCACGCTAGCAAGGTTGACATTTTTTATCCATATTATTATATTATTTTTTGAATATAGATATTTTTTTGTACTCTTAGTATTGCAATTATCTTTACTATTTAGTTATATAGTTCTTCAATCACCGTCACATGTTCATCGTCGCTACCTCTCTTCTCGCTTCAACCATCACTACCATTTCATATTCCCCTTCACAACACCCCCTATAACTTTATTTTTGTATATATAAAATAACTCTCATATTTGTTCTATATGCTAAGTTTTGTAAATGGCAATCTTACTTGACAAAATTCCTTTCAGTTATAATTTTATTTGCTTTTATGTTTTAGTGAGAATGTGAGTGTTTAGATGTGAATTCAACCTGAATTGTGTTTATGCAGAGGAGTTTGTGATCTTAAGGCTTTCATGTTTGTCACTACGCTGACTATATGTATGAGGATCGAACTATTAGGTTAGCTCACAAGGGTCCACCCATGGCAGGTTTGGGTAGCACCCAGGCAGGGTGGAGGGGTAGCGCACCCGAAGCCAAAGTTATTTGACCGCTTGAATGGTCATTTGCGCGCTTGAGCGGTGAATGACATCATCTAATATTTTTGCAAAGTAGACTAAACTTCTTAGAGAATTTGTTTTGCATTCAAGCGGTGGAGTCTTGGCTCTAGCAATTGGCACGCGTTTTAGTGGGTTCGCTTGAGCGATGAAGTGGTCACTCGAGCGGTCTTCACAGCTCTGTTTTCTATAAAGTGCACCGTTCGTTGTTTTTAGGGTTTATACTGTCCAGAATTTTAGAGAGAAAGAAAAGATAAAGTATTTTCTATTGGAGGATGTTTTATATGAGTTTTCTCAATGTATAGAAGGTGATTGATTGATTAACGAACTACAGATTGTCAAACATCAAGAATTGTTCTTATTATTTCATTTACAGAAGAAAGAGGTGTTCTTTGGTGGATTTCGGAGAACTTGGGCTTGAAGCTTTGATGGATGGAGTGGCTCATCGTCATGGATTTAACATCGGGGTTGTAGATTCAACGTTGGACAAGATAATTCCATAGTGAAAATGGTGATGGAAGAGGCACATCAGAGTAGGTTCAATTCGGGCATGGATTCACTAGGTAATTGATAATACACTTGTGTAATTCACTTTTATCTTCTTAGTGGATAGTTTTGTTTTTTTAACTCATGATTTTTTTATCACAATTGAAAATGTCCAATTGTGATTTTTTTCACGTTAAATCGTTGTGTCCTGAACTGGGTTCCGAAAAAAACGATCTACTTGAAAGAAAGGGCGAGCACTCTTGTGTGCCCGACATGTTCTTTACTTGACTTCTTTCTTTTTCCTCAATTGTATCTCCATGAGAAGAAAGCCAAGAAGAAGATGACTAATCATCTTCCTTGCTTCAGTCTGCTAGGCTTGATTACAGGCTAGCGATTGAAATGGTACAAAAGAGCTTGTCTTTATTCCTTAGTCATCAATAGAGTTCTAAAGGAATAGGAAGAGAGAGATTGAATAAAAGGAAATGATTCAAATAACTTTTTGGTATTTCGCTTCTCTGGATGACGTGATGGGCCAATCATTTGCTTCATTGGTTCCAACGGTGGCAGTTGTGGAATCTGCACACAGTTCACTTACTTGATTGGCTGGCTTATAGTACTATGTGTTTGCCTTATGTCAATTTGTCTTTGATTGTTTAATTATTATTTATTATTTAAAATTAAAATATAATCACAAATCAATATCTCAAAAATTTTAAATTTTTTACTGTATAAAAGATTCCTCATTCTCATCAGCCATCAATCTATTTTCTTTCAATTCGTGAAAACAATTGATATTAATTTACACGTTTTGTTACTTTCTTTTTTTTGGATACATCGGAAAGTAGAAAGACAAACAGAGGAAAAAAACAACAAAAAAAAAAAAACAAAAACAACTTATGGAATAGAAGAGCTCTGCCTACGGGAGCTGCGCCCAATCATGTCCGCCACAAGTTGACTGCGGATGCCATCCGGGGCATCTTCCATAACAACAAGTGGTTCATCTTGATCAGCACCCATCTTAGCCAAGCCATCAGCACTCAGATTGTCCTCCCTCAAAACGTGTTGGAGAGTGTAGCCACATCTACGGATAAGAAACTTCGAGTCCTCCACCAGGCTGCGCAAAGAAGAAATAACCTCCACTTTCTTCTTCAGCATGTCAATGGCATCCATGGAGTCAGTTTCTATGATTAGATCCTTGTAACCCTTTTCAAAAGCAATTGTCAAACCACGATATATGGCCCAAATTTCTGCCTCAATGCATGAGCAGTTCGTAAGCTTCCCGTAGAAACTGTAAATCCAAATTCCTTTCTCATCGTGGATCAAACCACCAAAACCGCCATCTCTTGGGTCATTTCTGGCGCTTCCATCCGTGTTCATTTTAAAGTTCCTGAAACAGGGGGAGTCCACACAACCAGTCTATCATGTAAAGGAAGAGCAAAAGAATGTTTAAAAGCATCTTTTATATCAGAAGCATATCCCAAGATAGAAAAGACGCTGTGCTGCCAAGGAGTCTGAACATGTTCAAAAATAAACTGATTTCGATTGTTCCAAATTTGCCATGAAGTAACAACAAAGGTTGTATGGCCAATAACAGGTGAATACTCTTCAAAATTGATTCTAGCCAAGCATTAAAGGAAAGATGCCTGCAGTTAAACAGCTAATTTGCACAGTTTAAATTAACCCGAATAGGACGAGCTTTGGGACAGTTTCTGAAAATATGATCAACATCCTCCAATTGATTACCACAACTCACACAAACAGCAGAGTCAGACAGCCCCCTTCCGACTCTTAATTCATTAGTCAACAATCTATGATGCAAAGCTAACCAAAGAAATCCCTTGAGTTTTTGAAGAAGCTTCAATTTCCAAAGCCAAAGCCAAAGCCAAGGAAAATGATTGGTGGCCCTAAAAAAGGTGTGCCTAATATCCCTAATTTCCAATTTTGAAAACTGTTTTCTTTTTTTCTTTCTTTTTTCCTTTTTTTTTTTTTTTTTTTTCCTAAAATGGAATTTCGGGGCATTCGAGCCCCGAAATTACGGGCCCTCAATCACTTCCGCAAAGCCAATTAATAGACTCCACGTCAGAGTCACAAACCAAATCATAAGCTGAAGCAGTAGTAAAAAGACCACAATTCTTTTTGTTACTTTCGAAATTGTTAAACAATTGCGTAAAGCTTCTGTCAAATGTCAGTGAGCCTGATGTCACTTGCAAGTTGCAAAATTAAAATGGGTAGTCTCACAATTCTTTGGCATTATAAAATTAGTCCAGCCCATGTCTCACTTTGGATTGGACGTCTGCATCATATAGGGCCCAACGTGGTCACCTTAAAATACCATTACATCTATATATATATATATACATATATTATTTTAGATGGACCTTAACATACTTGGACCGACCTAGTCATATTCCGAAACCCTCAAAAGATTTACCGATGCATTGCGCTCATTACGGTAGGCTTGTAAACTTAGGGCCAGTTTGTTTGGGATTATAGGAAAGGGATTAGGTTTGATAGTGAGGTAGGGTTACTATATGGGGTGTTTGTTTTGAGAAATGAGGAGGGAACTCCTAATCCATTGGTATTAGTAAAGGCCTTGGAAGGGGGATTGAGAAGGAGGAAGTATAGATGGTATTAGAAAAATAGTGAGGGGATTAGAAATTTTTTTATTTTTTATATATTGGAAATTTTTTTTAAAATATTAATGTTTAATTTTTTATATTTTTTTATTTTTTTTATTATTTTATATAAAAATAATTTAACAATTCCTACACTAACAACTATCATCAAAAACAAATACAATTTTACTTAATCCCCTCATTATCAATCCCTAACTAACAATCCTCTCATTATTAATCCCCTCACTATGAATCCTCTTCATTCTACCTCTGAAAACAAACGGGGCCTTAAAGAGTTGACTCATGTCTCCCTCGTTTGCGAATTACATATTTTAGTTAAAAATTTAAAAAATTATTTTAAGGTGTTACATCATTTTCTTTATTTGTCTGTACATTTTTTGTAAAAAATTAAAAAAAGTTATTAAAATAATATAAATTGTTTAAGTTTATTTTTTTTTAAATTAAACTTTAACGTGTTGAAATTCATTTATTATTCTTTTAGGATAGCATAACGTAGATCTTGATAAATTTGAACATTCAACTATTTGATTTTAAAAAAAATTGTGATTTATGTACGCGCATATAAATTATACTTAAAATTTTATATTTTATGAATTTTTAACTACTCTCTCATTGCAAAAGATGGGCTCTTCCACTCCTCATCCATCCTGATTAGGCTTCGTTGGAGTTGTAGATTGATTTTTAATTTTTTTGCTATTTTAATTTGGGATTAAAAAATCTTATTTAGGATAAATTTTTTTAACTTTGTAAGAGACAAAATAAAATAATTATGAATTAAATGTGACATTTTATTTCTATTTGATTAAAATAACTAATTTTATCCTATATGACTATTTTAACTCAAAGTGATATCTCAAACGGAGCCTATTAGTTGCATGTTGTACCAAATGATGGCACTGACAAATATCAAGAACCAAAAAAGAAAAAGAAAAAAAAAAAAAGGAAAAAAGAGGGGAATATTCAAAAATGACAAACAACGAAGAAACTAAGTTTGTGTTTGGAGTAACTCTGGAAACATGATTCCAGAGCTGTGTTTCAATGCTTTGTTTGGTTAAAGTTTTGAAAAATTAATTCCAATATAACATTCCAAAGCTCATTTCAGATTCTGTTTAGAGAAGAGAGGTTTTCTTGAATTTTGAAAGCGCGACTTAAGTTTACCCGATCATTCTCCTAGACATTCGGCCGGAACATTTTTTTTTTTTTTTGCAATTGGCACGTGTTATTTGGTGGGGAAAAGAGGGAGTTTTGTTTTTGATTGTTTTTAACAAAAATAGTATTTTTTTTATATATTTTAAAGAAAAAATATTTTAAAAAAATAATTCCAACCAAATATACAATTAAAAGTTATTTTAAAGCAGTAATTGAATATTTATTTTGAAAAAAAAAATTATTTTGTTTGTAATGTTTTCAATTAAAAAAAGGAAAAATTAGTCTAAGGTCCCTCTTCCACTTTTAATAATGGAAGAGATCCACAGTATTATTTTATGATGTCTAAAGTTCTTCAACCCCAAACTCATATGTCACAGAGAAATTTAAGAAGTCTCTCTCTTCTCACTCTCTGCTCTCTCTCTCTCTCTCCTACATCAACCCCAAACCCTAGCTTTTTCCTTCATCCTCGTGAGCTTTCTCAGAGCTATTAGACCTTGTTCTTGCTCAAACACGTCCAGACCCACGAACCGTGGTCTCGACAGAGCTGTAATCTGGTAACCGAAGGCGTTCGGTACGGGAGGAGTCGTACCAGTTGAGACTCGTCGATTTGAGATTCAAATTGGGGATGACAGTGGAGGAAGAATCCAATGAGTTCTTGGCGAGTATACCCATTATAGCTCAATCCCTCAAAGTGTATAGTTTCGAAGAACTTCAATCTGCAACAGAGTATTTCAGTCCTAATTGTTGGATTAAAGGATCTGTTTATCGCGGTACAATCAATGGGGATTTTGCTGCCATCAAGGAAATGAATGGAGATGTGTCGAAGGAAATGAATTTACTAAACAAGATCAGCCACTTTAGTCTCATCCGCTTATCGGGTGTTTGTTTCAGCGAAGGGCATTGGTATTTTGTTTATGAATATGCTATAAATGGACCATTGAGTGACTAGATTTATCATAACAATACCGATCAAAAGTTTCTGAATTGGACACAAAGAATGCATATTGCTTTGGATGTCTGAGTTGTGAATTTCTCTGGTTGAGTGATTTGGAGAGTGGGAATTTCTCTAATTTGAGTGAATTTCTCTGGGTTGGTGAGGAAAATTTCTCTAGCTTTGAGAAAAAATTTCTGAGTTGAAGTGAGTCTAGAGAAATTCTTCTCTGGTCCAGAGAAATTCTCAACTCAGAGAAATTTTAAAAGAGCTTAATTTTGTTTCTAGCATGCTGCATAGGCGTCTAAATTTTGATAAGGTTTGAATTCATTTTGAGTTTTTAGATTATGGATTTGGTTACTTGAAATTGTGGATTGAAATTGAATGTGTGATTTGATCACAGTGGGAGAATGTGATTTGGCCAGAGAAATCAACAAGTTTCTCTGGCTATTACACAGAGAAAATTAACACAGAAAAGTAACAGACATAATTTTCTCTGGTTTCGTTAAAACATAGAGAAAATTATGAGTAAATCAGAAAATATTAGTCAAATACACAGAGAAAATTGTGAACAAATCACAGAGTTATTTGTGAGCAAATTAGAGAAAATTCAATCCTAGAGAAATTTCAAAACATAGAAAATCAAAAAAATTAAACAAACCAGAGAAATTTCAAATTTTTCTGGTTTGAAATTTCTCTGGATGGAAATTTCTCTGGGTTAAAATTTCTCTGGATCAATTTGAGGGACCTTAGACATTATGAAAATATTGAATGTCCTTTATGCTATAAAATCTTAATATCATAGACCCTAAAAAAAATTCCCCTTAAAAAAAATTATGTTATTTTTTTAATAATTATTTTTTTGAATTGAATTTTAAAAAGAGTTTGGTTATGAGTTTTAAACATAATTTTCAATGAAGTTTTGAGCAGTGTGTTTGATTATGAGTTATAATTTTTTTAATTAAATTTTGAAATTTTTTTTCAAAACTCATAACCAAACAAATTTTCTTATTTCACATCTCACATCAAACATTTAAAACATAATTCAACACTCAACTCAAAACTCAATTCAAAACTCATAACTAAATACATTTTTTACTCTCAAATCATAATTTCAAAACTTATAAACTCAATATATAACTCTATTCTTAAATTGTATTTCTAAAACTCTATTAAACGCTATCTTTATTTTGAGTATGATTTATAAATTGATTTTTTTATTCATTACGAAAAAATGTACATAAAAATAGAGACGTAATGTGATAGAAATAAGTCAATAAATTAATAACCAACTTGTTTTTGTTTCAAAAGGGCTCAAATACCTAGTGGTTTGGTCTTTTAATAGACCAACTTTATAGTGAACGATAGGATTTGCATACAAGGACTCTTGTAGTGATAACTTGTTTGGTATAATTTTTTAAAAATTGAAAATTATGAAATAGATATTAAAATTAAATAATTAATTTTTTTATTGAATTTATTTAAGTTATAAAAAAAATTTAAAAAATTAATAAATTACAGCTTGGAAGTCAAGCTGTGAGACTCTTTTGCCATAGAATTCAAAGTCATCTAGAGTATCTTTTTAACAACCACCACTTTGTTGTGTGACAAGGCCATATATATATATATGTGTGTGTATGTTTTTACATGAGTTATTCATATTATATTATTTTTATTAGGGGTGTTCATGGTTCAGTTGAGGTTGGGAAACTTCCAATCCGTTATTCGTATGTTGGATTGGCAGGTTGAAAAAAATCAATCTGCATCCGTCTGTCAAATTGGCGAATGGATGAAAATCGATTTAGCAGTTTAAACTTTTATAAATTTTAAACATAATACAACTTATCAACATTTTTTTTTGTGAAAATCCAACTCAACATAATTAAAAGATTATTAAGTAAATTGTCAAAATACCAATAATAAATACATATAAGAAAATCATACATTATCAAAACTATTTAATTACTGCTTTTTTATTCAAAAATTATTTAATTTGATTTTTTTTAAAATTGACAAAATTAACCCTTATATTTTCTACACAAAAAATTTTAAATATCAACATTTTTCATTTGATAAAAGTATTTCTAAATTGAAAACATAACAGAATATCTAAACTCTTTTTCAATTGAAAACATAAATAGAATATTTAAACAAATTAAAAATATAAAGTCTTACAAATTACATGGGGTACTCGCAGTTTGGCTGTTCGGTTGCGGTCAAATGAAATTCCAAATTCGTCATCCATCCAAAACTAAGCGGATTGAAAAAAATAATCCGTAACCGTCTGCTTGTCATCACACATCCGTCCAAAATGCGGCAGATCAGTTTGGTTCGATCAATTTGTACGGATCAAAGTATCCGCTGAACACTCCTAATTTTCATAATCGTAGGTTACGTTATAAGTAATAAAAAAAATTAATTTTATTAATTAATATAAGATGTGAGAAGTAATTTTACATGATTACCTTAATCTATCTGTGTCACATCCTAACCCTATGGGCTTAGGGTTGGAATCGCAACTTACTAAATAATTCTTAGCTTAACAAATTAAATGGCACATGCGGAGACAAAATGGAAGTAGGAAATAATTAAACGGAAAATTAACTTCATTCTACTATTTTAATAAATGAAATACATCTATAGAGCTTTTATTATTATTCTGTGACCGACTATCAGTAAAAAAAAAGAAAAAAACAAAAGGAAGAAAGAAAATAAAGACAAAATAATGGATCAACATCAAATTCTTGTGCGGGTTCCACTACACGAGATTACAGATCTTCCTTACATCTTATCACCTAAAAGGTAACAGCTATAAGCACACAGCAGAGTGAGAAATATTATGCCAAGAGTATAGGGGATATAAAATAACCATGGATAGTTAGTTAAGCTAAAATATGTACATAGCTTAATTTGAATAAACAAATTATTTAAAGTGGCAGAAACTGAAATACGGAAATTATGTAAATAAATAATCATGACCACGGTACAGAATAGAACAGAACAGAGGTCACAAGAGTGACAATCAAAAAAGAGGTCAATGGTGTTGGAACAATCTTCTATGTAAAATAAATAAATTGAAACAAATCAAACAAATAAAATAAATTACTTACCGAATTTATTTTATCGAATTGAATAAATATTTAAAAGATCAAGTTGAGTGTGTGACATTCTGTCATTAAGACAGATTCACCCCGCTACGGTGCTTACAGAAAAATGGTGTCTATTTCCCAAGATACAATAATCTTCACAAATTATAGTAGCACTCCAAACAATTTGTACAGCAAACCGAACCTGAGTTCTATACTCTCAAATATTTCTCATAAAAATAATATGAAGAATAGATAATGCAAATAAGACAAAGGAAGGCAAGAAAAAGTATTTCGGATTGAAGAAAAATACTGGAAGATGGTATGTATTTATAGGGCCGAACAGGTATGGATTCAAACCTGAATAGGTATGATTTCAAACTGAACAGGTGCAAAAACTGTTTGAACCCAGTTTTGAACTTGTTGAAAAACCAAATCTGTTTGGACTGGTAAAAAATCTGTCTGGTTCAAATGGGTAGTTTCTGGCAGTTTATTTGTTGGAATTTTGGACTGGAAGAGGCACAATTATGGACAGAAAATTTGAATTCAAATTTAGTGCAAATTTTGAATTAATTTCCAACAAGAATTTTGTCTAGAAAATTAACATTAGAACCAACTCGACCCACAACCCACACTCGAGCCCGGTACGGCTCGGCTTGGCCAGCTGGTCGGACAGACAACGGCGGTGGCGGCGGCGCGCGCATGTGTAGTGGTTTGAGCCAAGATTCCACTTGTCCATAATTCCTCCCTTTTACAACTTAGGGTGCCCCTTGGGACCCAACCCAAGTGTTGCCACCTGGAACTTATATACACACATAAGTTTTCTTAAGTTTCTAATGTAGGACAAGCCTTACAAGGAAATCCATATATTACTTCTTTAAATGTCCAATTCCACGAATCCGAAAATGATGTCAACTTCCCATTCACTCATAAATGGTTTTGACAAACCGTCTTCACTGTGTGACGTGCTAAGCGATAAGGAACACATCACTTCTTTGGACCCACCCCAAAAGACGTGTAGGACCCACTCAATTTTGGGCTCAAAGTTGGCCCAAAATAAGCCTATAAAAACCAAAATTTCTAACAATCTCCCACATGAATGGAATTTGACGGAGAGAAAATGCAATATCATGAACTAATTACAGAGAGTACAAAAATTGGAAATATTCTGCAAAGGGTAGGTAGCTTTTGGCTTTGAACCTTCTATTGTGAGACACTATCGGATTTATTAGCTAATGAGTAAACGTGATGTCTTGAAATGTTCAGCCGTTTGTGTAAACGAAGACAATAAAACTCACACAGTATATCCCCAGACATAGTTTAGTTCTAACTATTATGTTTATTTTGGCCCCGAACAACCTGGTCTTTCATGAGTGCTTTAGAGAATTGTAGTCCTTTACAAATCTCATAGAACCAGCCCAGTTCACACTCATATAGGTGATTCTTATGAAGAGTATCCGGCCATACTCCACTAGGTATACCTAGATATAAGAATCATTAAAAGTATTACTTAACCTAAAACGCTGCAGACATCACTATTTCATCATAGAAATAGGTAGGAGTTTGACTCCCCAGTGATCCTTCTGAGTTATACACAACTCAGTTGTTCTTTTAAACCTAGATCTTGGGATATCCAGTCAAATAGGTTGGGTTGC